GTCACTTTATTCAACTGACGGTAGTCGATGCACAAACGCATACTACCATCCTTCTTCTTCACCAATAACATTGGAGCTCCCCACGGCGACACACTCGGTCTAATAAACTTTCTATCCAACAATTATCCAATCTGAGACTTCAACTCAGCCAATTCCACTGTAGACATCCTGTACGGCGCCATCGAAATAGGCCTCGTACCAGGAACAAGATCAATACTAAATTCAACTTCCCTCGTCGGAGGAAATTCCGTAATGTCATCAGGAAACACTTCCGGAAATTCATTCACCACTGCCAATTCCTCCATTGACGCTTTGCTATCCACCGATAATGATGCAAATAAAGTAAACACTTTAGCTTCATCTTCCAACAAGGTCCTCAATTCTTTACTAGACAAAGAATCTGCTAAAGCTTCCCCTTCTGGTGTCAGGAACAACAATTCCTTCCGAAAACAATCGATGTAGACTCGCTTGAACTCTAACCAGTTCATACCCAGAATAACATCCAAATTACCAAGTGGTAGACAAATCAGATCCACTCCAAATTCTCTACCGAAAATAGTCAGCGGACACTTCAGGCATACCAAAGAAGTAGTCACTGAGCCAATAGAGGGTGTCTCAATAGTCATTTGTCTCTCAAGAGTAGACGGCACCAATCCTATCCTCTTCACACAGTCAACAGAAATAAACGAGTGGGTTGCACCCGTATCAATAATAGCAGTCAAAGGAATATTATTGATAATACAAGTACCTTTGATAACTCGCTCATCACTGGCAGCTTGAGTTCCTGCCAAAGCAAACACTTTCCCACCAGCCGGAGACGTCTGAGGCTTCTTCGGCTTCTCGCAATGTGTACTGATGTGACCCTTCTCACCACAGTTGTAACAGGTCGGCATAGTTGCTCTGCAGTCAGCTATCACATGACCTGGCTTCCCACACTTAAAACACTTCCTTACTTCATTAGGACAATCGTTAGCACGGTGTCCCATGCCACCGCATCGGAAACATTTCCCATCAGCAGATGTTTTTCCCTCTCTGGGCTTCTTATCAACAACAACTTTACGCTTTCCCTTATCAGCAACAACACTATAAGGAGTACCACTGAACCTCTGCTTACCCTTACGGTCATTAACAGCTTTGTAGTGTGCAATCCTTGCCCGGTTGTCATTATCATAAATTCTGCTCCTGTTTACCAGCTCGGGATAACTCCGGATCTTCTGACAAGCAATCCCCAACTTAATCTCTGGACGCAGTCCATTCTCAAATTTTAAACACTTAGAAGTCATTGCTCCATCAATATTATAATGAGGACAATACTGCACCAGCTCTTCAAACTTAGCAGCATACTCTGCTACCGTCATACTACCCTGCTTCAGCTCTAAGAATTCAATCTCCTTAGCACTTCGAGTATCTTCCGAAAAATACTTTTCCAGAAAACCTTTCCGAACCACCTCCCAAGTAATGGCAGTTCCATCAGCTTCCAATCTTTGGCGACTGTTGTCCCACCAAGCTTCAGCTTCGGCCTCCAGCATGTGAGTACCAAACCTCACCTTTTGATCATCACTACAATCCATAGTCCTGAAGATTTTCTCGATTGCCTTCAGCCACTTCTGTGCAGCTTCAGGATCCAGAATTCCTCCTTCAAACGTCGGCGGCTTGTTGCTCCGAAACTGCGCCAAACTCCTGAATTGGGCATCTGCAGTTTGGTTCTGATTAGCAACCGCCTGTGCCATTGCTTGCATAGCAGCAGCCAACGCAGCATTGTTCCTTCCTGCCATACTGCTCAAAAATAATAACACCAGGTTAAAAGATACTCAACTCTATCCTAAAGGACAGACTCAACTCGACTCAACAACACTGGCCGGACGGACCGACCTGCTCTGATACCAATTGTAACACCCCACTTCCCAAAAACAATTAAAATAATAAACATTATAAATAAACATCAGAGTTTTCTTCCCAAGTGGGATATCACATAGAAAAACCAACATTTCCTTATAAAAAGGTTTTTCTCCAAATACAGCGGAATATTAAATAGTAAAATCCAACAAAGGTTTTTGATACGTTCACAGGAACAAAATACAAGTTCAGCATAAAACAAATAAAAACACCCAAGTCCCGTGCTACGTATCAGAGCATCCTAGACTCGACTGGCACACCATAATCCAAGCTAGCTAAGTACCTGGATTATCTGTACTTCCGAAGAAGCACAGACCACAACAACAAAGGGGTGAGAAAACATGATCAAAAATATATTGGTAATGTAATACATGTAAACAAGGTAGTAAAACACACCAACACCCCAATATTCACCCCACATCACCAATCACGAACCTACTGTTCAAGTTACAATATAACATATTATAATGCAAATATGCAACTCAACACCATGCATGTGGTACCGACTCATTGGTTCATTCAATCGAACCTTGGACAGATCACTTACGCTCCTACTGAGATATGATTTATCCCCGACATATCACTTACGCTCCTACTAAGATATGATCTATCCCCCACCATTCTCCACAAGGAGTACGGATGAATCACTTCCGCTCCTCCTGAGATATGATTCATCCCACCAAACACCATGATATGCACGACACCAATGCATAACTATTATATTCAGGCACACTAAGTGCACACGATCCTCCTGGTCATATCATCATACGTCAATGCATATAGGTATAGATATATTACACACCCACATCATATAATTCAAATCACACAGTGAGCAATCTCACATTCTAACACCAAGTATAAACACATCCCACCACTCGGGAATACACCAACTAATCATCCACTTAAAATAAAATATCAAGGGATCACTTACTATCACCAAGTACTCCAATTAAATACTACAATCACCACTCTATCACTTCATCATGGCCAAAGGGATCCTACAAAACATCAACATTGGATGGAACCACAAAATAAAACAAGTTCTGTCACGCTCGCTGGCCCACTCGCTTAGCGAGGCCCTAGCGAGTGTTCGCTACCTGCTCGCCTAGCGAATATGTTAGCGAAGGCAGACAGTGGCTACTGGAAGTGTTCTCTACCTAGCTCGCCTAGCGAGTCCCTAGCGAGTACTCGCTACCTGCTCGCCTAGCGAACCTGCTAGCGAGCGTCTGCGATACTCAAAAACCCTCACTATCGAAAATGTCACTTTGATTAATCCCAAGCCTATCATTCTTCATCCATCTTCTACCTATTATTACTACAACTATTATACACAACTCTCATCAATTGTTCCTCAAATTTTCTCTCCAGAACCAAACTCAAGGTCATTACCAAAACCACAGAAGTTACACAGAACTTCCCTAAAACCGTAAACCCAACCAATACCCCAAATTCACCAAAAACAGCAATTCATCAACATCGACATATATCAATTCCTCATTGGTTTATCAAATACCAATTCTCAACATCAATCAACAATTATAGGCATAACAACATAAAACTTCATATACGATACATTCCTACGGGGTTAAGGAATCCCCACTACCCTATACATGTAAATACCATCCCAATCAAGTTTCTCCCCCCTTACCTTGTTAATCGGTTTGATCGATGGAAATCCTCCTAGATTTGGTCTCTTGGCTTTCTCCTTTCTCTTCCGTTCCTCGTTCCTTTGCTCGTTCTATGCTCTTCTCACTTATCTCGTTCTTTCTCCCAACTCTCCAAATGTATCGTAAAAACCACTAACCCCTCACATTCCCTATTTTAATTATCTAATCTTAATAATAATAATAACTTAATAAAATAATATAATAATAATAATCTTAATAGTAATACTAATATAATATTACTAATATAAATAATAACACTTATTAATAATAGAAATAATAATAATAATAATAATAATAATAATATCTCACCAAATTCATAATAATATTAATAATAATAATAATAATAATAATAATAATAATAATAATAATAATATCACCACCAATATTATTATTATTTATTATATTATTATATCCACACCAAAACACCACCAATAATCCTCCCATATCAGGGACACCCACCAATCATCATCCAACACACCCCACCAAAGGGCAGTACACCAACACATAATAATTAAAATTATAATAAAATGACTAAATAATTAAAATAGGTGTTACATTACTCGTCAGAAATAATGATGTGTCGAAATTAGCCTTGTGTGTGCGCGTCGAAATGTCGAAGCAGGTTGCTCGACAGGATTTCGACTTATGCCTATTTTAGTAGTGTTACCTAAATTGGATATTTTAGGCTTTTGTGTTTTGGACTTTGCCTTAGGGAGAAAGCTAATCTAAAATTATAAATAGATGGAGTAACCCCTATTCTTATAATAACTTGAATTTACAGAATTTTACAGTTGTAAAGTGAATAAGTTTTTTACAGTTTGTGGGCAGAGAGTTAATCTGCAGAAATCAACATTTTCTATATTTTGTCAAACCATAATTTTCTTTCTTCTACAACTTTTTTTCTTTTTATTATTATTGTGTATCGATAATAATCTTGTTCATCAAGATTGATAAAAAAATTTCATAAATTATGGTGGATTTCCGACACTAATCAAGTCACTAACAAACTTGCCACTTTATAAAACTTTCACTTCAAAATTCTGTTACAGTTAATTAGTTTTTCCACTTTTAGTAACTAATTTGTTAGACTGTTAGAGAAACTTGTGTATAAATTAGCTTGATGTGAGCAATAATGCAACTTCTCTCAATTCATGCATGAAATTTCACATTCTAACATTAATAAAGATAGAAATAATTGATCCTTTTACCATAAAGATAAGAACAAACAACTTTTTATAATATCTTACCTGAAAACCAGGAGATATTTTACAACATGTTTCCTTCAAGTCACGTGTGCTTCCTGAATCCATGCATCTCAAGATCATATATAATAATATCATGCACACAACACAAGATTAATGCACATGCAGCAGTTGACAACGTTAAAATGCTAACATCTCTTAAGTTATCTCTCACTACTCAAAAACAAGACCAAAGATGATGAACATGTTGTTCTTGATCATATTTTACTTCTTCTCCATTCTATTTCTCACTCTCTTTCTTCTCATCTCAATTCTCACACTCACAACATTCATAGGACAATCCATACGAAACCCTAAATTTCCACCAGTGAAAGGAACAGTCTTCCACCAATTAATCAACTTCAAAACACTCTTCCATTACTTAACACAAATAGCACAAACCAATCCAACTTTTAGGCTTCTTGCTCCAAACAAATCCAAGATTTACACATGCGACACACGAAATGTCGAACATATACTCAAAACAAACTTTCATAATTACTCCAAAGGAAAGTTTAACCATGATACTATTTTCGATCTTTTTGGTGATGGGATTTTCGCGGTCGATGATGATAAATGGAGGCATCAGAGAAAGCTTGCTAGTGTTGAGTTTTCCACTAGAGTTCTTAGAGATTTTAGCTGCAATGTTTTCAGAAGGAATGCTGCTAAGTTGGTTAGAGTTGTCTTAGGGTTTTCAAATGCAGCAATGCTCTTTGATATACAAGTAAGTGTCATATAGTGATCAAACAATAACTATTTGATATGTTACAACACGAGTTTGAATCTGCAACATCTCGATCTTTCTCTAAAACAAATCAAATATCTACTACTAGTGAAGCATTATATTAATCTTTTTGTTTTTGTGAATGCTAATTTTCTTTTTCAGGATATAGTAATGAAATGTACTTTGGACTCCATATTCAAAGTTGGTTTTGGAGTGGAATTACAATCTTTGGAGAGATCAAGCAAAGAGGAAAATATCTTCATGAAGGCCTTTAATGATTCAAATGCATTTGTATTCCGACGCTATTTGGACCCTTTATGGAAGTTGAAAAGGTTTCTTAATATTGGATCAGAAGCTTCCCTTAAGAAGAATATCAAAATAATTGATGATTTTGTGCATAGCATAATTAAGACCAAAAGGAAACTTTTATCAGTGCAAAATGATTTTGTAAGTTCAACATATTCCTTTATACAATCTGATTGTTTTCATTCCATTTAGATAACGTGTTTGATTTTGTTCCATGTTGATTCTTACTAGAGTGATAAAGAAGATATACTTTCAAGGTTTTTGGTGGAAAGTAGAAAGGATCCTTCAAATATGACAGATCAATATTTGAGAGATATAATTCTAAACTTCATGATTGCTGGAAAAGACACAAGTGCCAACACTTTGTCATGGTTCTTCTACATGTTATGCAAGAACCCTATTATACAAGAAAAAGTTGCACAAGAAGTTATAAATGTTACTTGTACTCAAGAAACTCAACTCAATTTAGATGAGTTTGTGAACAATATCACAGATGATAATCTTGACAAAATGCATTATCTTCATGCTGCATTAACAGAAACATTGAGACTATATCCTGCTGTTCCAATGGTGAGTCCTAAACTCTTGAAAAATTCTACCAATTCTAAGTGCTTCAACGGCGAAACCGAAAATAAACTTAGTTAATTGGTTTTTTGTTGTGATACAAGACTGGTAGGACAGCAGAAGAAAATGACATGCTTCCTGATGGGTACATAGTGAATAAGGGAGAAACAGTGTATTACCTGTCCTATGCTATGGGAAGAATGCCTTACATTTGGGGGGATGATGCTGAAGAATTCCTACCTGAAAGATGGCTTAAGGATGGAATTTTTCAACCTCAATCTTCATTCAAATTCATTTCTTTCCATGTTAGTGTCACTATTCTTTTAAGTTTGAGATTAGTTCTAACAACTCGTTTTAAGTGACATTTAAATATTTTTCATATTTGCAGGCTGGTCCTCGTATATGCTTAGGGAAGGATTTTGCTTATAGACAGATGAAAATAGTAGCAATGGCACTTTTTAGATTCTTTCGGTTTAAATTGGCAAATGAAACAAATGATGTGACTTATAGAACCATGTTCACACTTCACATTGATAGAGGCCTCCCTCTTTATGCAGTTCCAAGGTGTGATGTATTTGAATAAAGTAATGTATTTGGAAGTAGTTGGCATTTTGATATGTCTTGTATTTCTTTTTGTTGGTATAAAATTGCAATCTTTTTATCAATATAATTCTGATTCTTAAGTAATGTTTTAGGAAACACAAGAATAATAGTGAGAAACATAAATGTTAAGATTCTTAAAGATTTAGGTTACAAATGCAACTTGGAAGAGGTGCATTACCTAGATTAAGTCTAACAGAGTTGCATTTTATATCAAAATAATATGGTCAATCAACTCCGAAATTTTGAGTGTCATGTCGAAATTACAAATATATAATTTAAAAAAAAAATAAAAAATTATATTAATATTGACAAAAATAATTATAATGTATCTATTAATCCGAACATGTACCAGTAGCATTATAATTTCCACACTAACTACAACCTCTGACTATTAATGTTTGATCATATCATCCTCCTATCATTTTTTGCTACAAAATCAAGATTCTTTAAAAAAATCATATTCAATTGAAATAAAAGTAAGAGTATTTAATCTAATCTGAGACATTGTCGATTGCAAATAAGATTTTAACAATTTTAATTTTGAAAAACTCCTCTCAGTCGATGTGTACAATGCTCTAGGATTTATATCAAACATTTTTTTTGTACACCTTTGTTTTTCTTTTATATTTGATTCAATATCATATCCTTAACCTCTCACATTATTAATATCAAGATCAAGAGTTTTTAAAATATTTTGTAATTCTTCAAACAAACATTGGTCACTTGTACCATCAACTTCAAAATATTTTATAAAAAATTCTTCTATCTTTATTGGACTTGTAGAAACATCCTCACAATACAGTATGATAATCATCTGTTCTTGGTAACTTACATCAAGAGTTCAATCAAGTATCACATAAAAGTATTTTGTTTCTTTAATCTTTTGAATTATTGCACTTTTAACTTCCTTACCTAACATATTAATCAATTCATTTTGGATCTTATGGCTAAGATAATGGAAATTGATTTTGTTATTCTTGATGCGATCAAGGTGCCTTTGTATAACAGGATCCTATTCAGCAATCATCTCAACAAGAGAAAAAAAATTCCTGTTATTTTGAATATTGATCTTGTTATTTGTTTTACGAAAAGCTAAATTTTGTCTAGAAATATATCTAACAATAGAAATATCATTTTCAAATGTTCTTTTTCTTTTTTATAAGCTCTTAAAGATGTTTATCAATTGTTCTGTTTTTTTAAAATCTGATTTGAAAGTCAATTCACTCACTCATAAAAATCATGTGTGCATCGTTTGATTCATGTTCTTTAAGCCTAACCATAAAATGAGAGCAATCATCGAAACCTTCATTAAAACCAATCATAGTAAACAATAACACCTAATTTTTTATTGTTGGCTTAACTCTAAACCTCTACTAGATGTCCCAACGACCAAAACAAACACGCGGTAGACATAAAAAAATATCAACATATGAAGTATAGATTGATAAAGAAACAAACTAACTAACAAAACTATAAAATTTGTATAGTAGCATAACGTAACAAATTGATAAGACTACAATTAATGGGATCGATAAATAAAATATTCTCACATAGTCGATAAGAGATTTTCTCAAATGTAGATAGAAAAAAGAGAACGGAAGAGGCATATAACACAAGGTTTTTTTTTTTTCCAGAATGTTAAAAATCTAAATGTTATTTTCATTAATTTTAGGTTTTCTATTTTTATAGTGAATCACATTTATGTGAAAATTTTCTTGAAACAATTTATTAGAATATTTTTTTCGATATAAAATGAGAATGATTTTAATATATTAATAATTTACTATTAGTTATTATTATTATTATAATATATGATATGTCATATGTGATTCAGTTTAAGGTTAATTCTTTAATTAAATTTTAAGCTTATTAAAAAAATTATATATATATATATATATATATATATATATATATATATATATATATATATATATATATATATATATATATATATATATATATATATATATATATATATATATATATATATATATATATATATATATATATATATATATATATATATATATATATATATATATATATATATATATATATATTTGGTGCTCTTAAAAAGTTGATGTTATATGTCACCGCTCCTTCCAAACACTCTAAGGAACCTTTGAATATGGTAATACTTTAGTTATGTAGTAAACTAAAATAGCAATATTGGTAAACTCAATCTTCACTTCATCACTGAGATTTTGATTGGAAGTTTGAAGGAGAGGGGAATGTGAACAATTTAAAAAATAATTTTTAAAAATAATATTGAGAAATTTTTAATATTTAAAATAAAAAGAATTTTTTTAATAAAATCCTAAAAAAGTGTTTAGCATTAGTTTTTTTTAAAATACTATATTAACATAAATTATATTTAAATAATCTGTATAAACTCTACAAAATCTTTCAAATCCCTCCTCCAATACAATTTTTTAATTCCTCAAAATAGGAGAAATTTGATTTATGAATAAAAATAAATCATTCAAAACTCTTAAAACTCTCTATCAACCCTTCAAAATCTTAATGCATGCTCTTATAATTTTGTTCTTCCTCTTATTTTTATTTAAACTATAATTTAGACAAATTAGTAATCAACAAATATCACAATTAAAACTCAACAAAACCTTTTTTTGTATGTCAAATGTGAAACAACCATTGATTACCTCAAACAAAAGTATCATTCTTTACTTGGCCATCCGGTTTTTCAACACTTTCTCTATCTCACTTTCATTCTCTCTCACATTTTAAATTTAAGGTTTCAGGAAAAGAGAGAAAACTCATTTTCTCCTTCTATTCGTTTTCCTCTTCTCTCAGTCTTCTTCGACTTTGAAATTTCATTTCAATTTATCAACCATTTTCTTTTGTTCATCAATGCCTCTCTTTTTTTCTTCTGATGTTGGAGGTTTATTTTCGATTAACATCACTTAGTTTTCTATTACTTTCTGTTTATGCAGATGAGCGTCAACAGGGATGAGAAATCGAGCATGAATGGATGATGAATCCAAGTTAGTCAGTTTAAACAATGAACTCACCCTTTTAATTTTTGTGAACTTCATAAGTTGTAACTGAATTTATCTTACTTCTTATTTTTTTTTTCTATATGATCCATACAACTGACGTAATAGTTGGGGTGAGCAAAAAAGAACAAAGGTTTATTCAAGGTTGTATATATATAACTGAGTTAAAGAATTACGGTAAGAGACATATTTGTTGTATATCACTATTCATGGCCAAATTTATTTGGAAAAGAAGAATTTGATACATCATCTTCTTCAATCATTCAATGTTTGCAAGTGTCTAGGCTAATCTTTGTAGGATGGTGTTATATTTATGCAAGTTATTTTGTTTAACATTATGGATTGGTGAAGATGTTAATTGGTCTTATTTTGATGCACATGTATTGGTATCTGTTATGTTCTTTTCTAGTTTTCTAATAGGAAGGTATGTCTTGGTATGTAGTTCCAAGACATTTAGAGTATTGACTTAGTCTTGCTTCAAATCCAGGTTGTGGTATGTTGTTATGATGTTAAAGTATTGACTTAGTATTATTTTATGTCTCATGCTTAGTAAAACTTTTATTTTGGCTTTAAAAAAAAGAGATGTCTCTCTCTCTCTTAATATTATACTAAGATGAATCATTTAAGATACTCAATTAAGTGTATAGTTAAATATAAAATGGAGTATATAAGTGAAAAACATGGGAGTCAAACAACCTGTATTGAAAACCAATGTTAGTATTCTGCTGATTAGAGGTGTTTAAAAATATATTAACTGAATTTTATATTTGAATTGAACTGCATTGAATTATAAAAAAATTGAACTAAAATTTAAATGGTTAATGAACTGAACCACTTAATTAAAACAATTTAAATTCAGTTTAAAAAATGTTCAAAATCAGTTTTTTTTATAAATTAATTAGTTTTTAATAAAAAGAATAAAATATTAATTGAGAGAAAAAAATTCTAAAAATTAAAAAAAAAAGTAGAAAATATTTTTTTTTATTTCTTGAAAATAAAAAATAAACTAATATCGATTTTTTTTCCGAAAAATCAATTTTTTCGAAAATACGAAACATCGATTTTTTTTTGAAATACAATAAATCAATTTTGATCTGTCCTGATCAGAAGGGGATCACGGACCGGCCATACTCTATTAGACGGCTGCGTACTCACCGGAGATGAGGGAGAGAAGGGGGGTGTACCTGCAAAACACTCCGATGCCAAAGTGAGAAGTTGGGCAGAGCGATGGCGAAGTACAGAAAAGGGGTAAGAAGATGTGTTACCCACTATGCCAAAACAGACCTTTAGCAGCGCTTTAAAGCGCTGCCTAAAGTGGCGCTGCTAAAGGTAAAGGCAGCGCTTTTTTTGTGGAAAAAGCACTGCTAAAGACATCACCTTTAGCAGCGCTTTTAAAGTGCTAACTAATCTCCCCCCCCCCCCCTCCCCCCCTTTAGCAGCGCTTTATTAAAGCGCTGTCTTAGACCCCCCCTATAGCAGCGCTTTATGAAAGCGCTGTCTTAGACCCCTCTTTCCCCACCTATAGCAGCGCTTTTTTAGCAGTTTCTCTGTCCCCTTTAGCAGCGCTTATACATAAAAGCGCTGTCTAATGTGCACGTTTTGAAATTTTTTTTTCCTGATTAATGACATTTTTTATATATTTTTCAATAAACCTGCTTATATTACAATACCTGCTTATATAATTTAGCCCTTTATTTCAGCACTTTGGCTTTATATACACAATTCAACACTTTGGCATTATGTGCACAATTCAACACTTTGGCATTATATGCACAATTCAACATCACAAATTATATACAATTCCACTTTAATATATATAATTCAAAAGCTTCACAATTCAACATCACAAATTATATACAATTCTCAACTCGAAATTCAACATCACAATTTATACAATTCTACTTTAATTTCTTCCAATCTTCATTGTTGGCCATAATATACCTGTAATTCAGGAAAACTAAAG